CCCCCCCCCTGTGTGTGTGTGGGTGCCCTGGCTCTGACCGAAGGGGAAGGGTGTCTTCCTTTTCTGCATCAGCTGACATTTCTGTGGCACTTTTCAGTCCATTTTGTCCAGTCTCACTCCCTTGCTTCAACCTCTTCTCTACCTCACGACCTCTTCTTATTGTCCTTATCAGTCCATTCTGCCCAGTCATTGTGCCGGATGCCATTGAATTCTGGTGAGCTGAGCCTTGTAGGGTTGGGTAGACCAACACGCACTTGTCAGCGGGTATTTAGGGGATGAATGCTTGCCATGGACTTAGGCCAGCAGTCAACACGTAATAGGGAAAGTATTGTGTCCATTCTCGGTTCCCATTATGTGTGGGCAGGCCAGTCTCTGCTATGATAATCCAAACATTTAGGGCTGTGTGATGCGCCGAGACCCAACTTGTGTGGGCAGGCCAGTCTCTGCCATGCAGAGGGACCCAAGCAGTCACCCCTTGGTGGCAACTTTGTAGCCCTTTAAACCAGCGGTTTCAAAGGAGCTCCACAGCTGAGCAGGGCATTTGTCAGCGTTGTGGTATCTGCCCAAACCATGACTGCGGATGAACAATTGTACAGACCTTTTGGTTTCAGGGAATTTTGGGTGCGGCAGTCGCTGACATGTCAGGCAACTCTAGGGAGCAGCATTGTAACTCTTCTGCACCAGCTCTTATCTAGTTCGTGGGACAAGCAAAAGACTGAGGTCTGCTCACATGGACGTCGAAAGTTTGCCTGCCTCCCAGAAAGCAATTTTGAAGACCTTCGCGGTTCCTCGTTCAAGCCTAGGGGTCGGTCGGACGACTGACACTGAATATGTTGCAACCTTGATGGAAATAAGGTTAGCGAATTCGTAGTGATTTCCTATTTGTCAGGAAATGACATTTCTCTCGAATGTTCTGGTTGTGGTTCTCTCCCATTGTTGTGGTTATAAACCAGGGCGCAGTAATGGCTCCAACGGAGTTTCTTGCATCACAACATTTCCATCAATTCAAGGCCTGGCTTGCCCTTATGGACGAGGATAAGGTGCCACGGCTGGAGTTACTGACAGGGTCAATGGCGGGGAGGAAAGGCCGAATCATCCGCCAGGTAAGGGTACACACCTATGCCCCAATCATCTGCTGCTGGAGATCTGATCTGCCTTCCGAGGAGTTTGGTTTGGAACCCCAACCCTGTTTCCCCCCCCCAAAACAGAGGGGTATCTTTTTAAGATTATGGTATCAAGCAGGATTTGAACATTTTTCAGGGGTCACAGGTGTGAACCATCCAGTCACCAAGCAGCCACAGTGGCGGAGAACCCTTAAATTATCGATCTGGTTCTTCTTTGTCTTCCTACGTAGCGGTAGTGCAGTGGCTGAGAACGCTTAAATTATCACTATTTTTTTTGCTTTTCCTACATTGTAGTCATGTGGTAGTGACTGGACACAGCTTGCTGAACAATATTAACAGCTGGGTTGTCAGATCGCCTACGGCCAACACCGACCGTAGGCAGTCGGCTCGCCTACCAGCCGCGGCGACCCATCGGCAGTCTGCCGACCAGTCTGTTGAGGGCCATCCGCTGATTGTTTTTCAAATCTGAGTTCAGGGCTGTACTGCGCTTGCGGAGTACGGCCCAAATCCGCTGAGAAACTTTTGGGGAATGGGGGTTATGGGGAAGGTATAGGGGGGGCATAGGGTGGT